CCTCGGCATTTCACATTAATTCCTAACTACAAACCCAAACAACGAGTAACTATATTAACGGATTTATAGTCTTGTCATCATCCACAATTCATAATAGTGTGTAAATTAATTATTTCTATCAAATAATCCTTAATCTTAATTTGAATAATCTAATTAAAAGTCTTGAAATCCTTATAGCAAAATGTAAACTTTTTCAAATTTTGGGATCCCATGAATCAAAAACTTTTCCTAATTTCAAAGTTGTTTTAGAGGTTTTGGTATGCATGATTAATAGGTTTACATTCCTTATTTTTTAGTATTTGAATGTCAAATGAGAGTTTTAAAAGAAAAAATATCAATCAATCTTACACTTATATAAATGATATGTTTGAGATCGAAGCTTTTTTTTAATGTATAATTTAATTCAATAAGTTGTTTTCAACATCAACCTTGTTAGGTATGCTTAGAAAAAACTAAGTGTGTATTTAATAATGCTATACATGAATTTTTACAAAAGCATGTTTCAACTAAAAAACACCAAATTAATATATTTTCTAGTTTTTTTTAAATATTTGTTATATTAAAAAATCTTAAAAAATCAAATTAATGACTTTTCAACCCAAAGATATTTTAAAAAACACTTTCAAATATAATCCAAACATATTATCAAACACACCTTAACAAAAGCGAGTATGAAACTCTAATTGCTTTAAGTATAACAACAATTTGAGTGTTGGAGTTGGGTAATCTATTATCGAGAATGAGAGGAACTCAATTCTCATATCAAATTAAGTTAGTAAAATACAAATTTCAATGATTTAATGGCAAAAATTGCTCTCGTTCTATTGCAATTTGGTAATTTTAGACTTTTAGTATCAAATTACATAAATTGAACTCTAAAATATTTCTTTTTGGGCAAATTTGATCCAAATTTTCTAATTTCGATTATCCGTAACTGGTCAACTGGGTTGATCGTTAAGAGAGAAGTCAAAATGACATCGTTTTGTGCATTCAGCGAGTTACCTTTTTTTTAAAAAAAAAGAGTTTAAATATAAAAGTTCAAAATTAAAGCGGTTAAATTAGGGGGGAAGTTTTGTGAATTCTATTGTTAATTTTTTTTACAAAAAGTTCGAATTAGGGAGGTTAAAAACAAAAATAAAATTCGAACTTTTTAAAAATAAAAATAAAAGTTACAAAAAAGAATAAATTTTTTTAAAACATTTTTTAAACTTTATTTTTATTTTTGACCCCCTAATTCCGAACTTTAAAAAAAAACTTAAAAAATAAAATTAACGACAAAATGCACAAAACTCATCTCTCTAATTTAACCCTCATAATTCTGAAATTTTATTTTTAAACTTAAAAAAAATTAACGACTAGATGCAAAAATGACGTTGCTTTGGCACTTCTCTTAATGGTCAACTGGTTTATCGTTAAAGATAACAAAAATTAAAAGATTTGGATCAAATTTGCTTGAAACCTAATATCTTGGATTTCAAATTATATAATTTGATACATAATGTTTGAAATTACCAAATTACAATAGAAAAAAAATAATTTTTGTCATTAAATCAAATCTAAATAGTTTATAACATTAAGATTCAAGGATTATTACAGTTGGGCGTTCACTATTATATAAGAAGGCAAATGATCACTTCGGCTTCTTCAAGATAACAACAACAAATTCCAATAGTCTTGGGCAAACAATTCCATATGCATCGTATATATTTTAGTTATAATAATAGTAACAAGTCGGCTTCTCTCGCTACATTGTGGCCTAAATTAAGCATATTTATTTCGGTTTGATAATATGTGCTACGTTGTCGATTAACTAAAATATATTAAATTAAAAATAAAATATAAAATTTCATCTAATTTTATTATTTTTAATCAAAATTTTATAGTAAAAAAAAAAATACAATTTTTTCTTTCTATGCATTTATTCTTAAATAATTATCCGTAATAATCTAAATATAAAATTTTTAAAAATATCTTAATATTTTTTTATAACATTGCATCAAAGAAATAAAACAACTATTAATATAAAAATTTGTATAAAAAATAACAAATGAATCTTTTTTATTCTTTTTAATACCGATACGAAGAATATTTTTTAAAACATATATATATATATATATATATATATATATATATATATATATATATATAATGAATAATACTAGTATAAAAAATTATATTTGAATTATTATGCGGTTCTTCTAAAACATTATTTCAATTATTTTATTTGAAATAAATTAATTTTAAAATATTAAAAAATAGCAAATGATTGGCGTTATATGTGTAGATGCATAATTAATTTCTAATATAACCAATGGCTACTATTAATTTTTTTATACACCATGACCGTACTCTCTAGATAAGAGTGTGTAGTATAAACCAAAAAATATTTTGAAAAAATTAAGTTGTAAAAAATATATTGAAGTTAATAGAGCGCAATAAAATTAATCTCGATAAAATTTAATTATATAAAAAAATAAATAAATAAAACACGTGAATTATATTTTTAAAATTTGATTATATAAAGAATAAAAAAATAAAAACAATCACCAAAAAAAAAAACCTTATTCAAAAATCCATACATATAGAAAATAAATCATATTTATTAATTAATAAAATTACATAAAAAAGAAGGATAAAAAATTAATTTGATGACAATTTTTATGAGAAATGGCAAATTAAAGAAATCAATTTTAAACAATAAGAGTAATATAATCCGATATATATTCATTCTAAAATCCGAAAACATATCGTATATATTCCATAATCGTAAATTTGTGTAATAATGATTGATTTTTCATAATTTTCACATGAAATTCAATAATAATAAAAATAATAAATTAATGGGGAAAAAAAAAGAGCTCACGCGGCTCGCTTTTCAAGTCGTGCTCTTGAGTAGGGGTGAGCAAACGGTTAAACGGTTCGATTTTGTACGATTCGGTTCGGTTTTCGATTAACCGAATCAAGGAAAATAAAAACCAAAACCGAACCAAAATAAATTCGGTAAATTCGGTTTGTAACCAAATTATTTCGGTTCGGTTTCAAAATATTTCGATTTTAATAGAAATGTTTTACTAAAAAAAAAATTCTAGACCATTGTTTCATTATCCGTCCTAAGCCACCATCATTTTCACCATTTACTATAAAAAAAAAAAAAAAAGACAATAAGAAAACAAAGCCCTTACATAGGAAATATCTTTTGCGGCTACCTAATCACGAGTTGACACACTTGAATGTCCTAAATGAGAGAAGAAAAAAATGTAGTTGTCTTTCTTTTTTTGCTTATTCCGAACTCATTAAGCATTGACAACATCCTAATTCTTGATTTGACCTCTATGATCTCCTTGCTTATCTTGCTAAAAAGCCATTGGGAATGAACCGCGGAAACAAAATTTTAGACCGAATTAGTCACTCGTTGAAGATTATAATTTTCCAACATCAATCACTATCATAACAAGATATATAAAGCAAGGTAAAGGTTACCAATATGTATAACATCCCTAATAATTTTACAATCATCATTCCCACTAAAAAATGTAGTCCAAAAGATTTTCATTAGCAATTTTGTGCGGTAGAAAAGAAATTAAAACGAGCTTTCTTTCGGTTTGTAAAATTCAAGCTCACAGAGACTCGAAACCATCTTGCAATAGTAAGTTAATTTCATTTGATTGTCTTGTAAAGAAACAACTAAACTTGTAAAAGACAATTGATTGCGGTTAGTCATCAACTTTATTTAATTTTTTCAATTGATAATTGACCAAATTAAGAATCTTAGAATTCATGAATGCCTCCTCCGGCTTGATGAAGTGATGATGAAGGAGAATCGGAGAAGATGGAGCGAAGGATAGGGAGCTAGGGAGGCGCGGCTAAAAATTGATTTTGAATTATTGAAGTTAGCCAATTAGGGTTAAAAAAAAAAAAAAAATTTTTTTTTCTTTTAATTTTTTCCGAAAACCGATTTTTTTTTCAAAAACCGAACCGAATCGAAATAATTTCGGTTTTTCGATTCGGTTTTTAATTTTATAAATTTAAGTTTAAAACCGAACCAAAATACATAATTCGGTTCGATTTGATTCGATTTTCGGTTAACCGAACCATTTGCTCACCCCTACTCTTGAACGTGCTGCAGCCCAAAAGATACAAAATTTCATTTTAAACCATATTCAAATATAACGGTCTAAAAACAGCTTAAACATCAAAACGCACCACCCTTTACTGTTCATTTTTCTTGCATTAGTTTTGTTACGTTATCCCTTAGCTGTTCATTTTTTCCACCTCTTTTAGTTGTTTTGTTACATTATTAGATGGGGGCGGGAGGCGGAGGCAGATTTTCGCAAACCGAATGTTTCTATAGGATATTTTTAATATATATAATCGTTTAGAGGAGCGGTTGGATCCTAGTAGCAAATAGCAGTAACTAAGACGGGGAGGGGTTAGATTCTGTGTAGACAAAGACTGCGTTCATTTTGTAAGACCTGTTGGACCACCAGTAATTAGAAGACACTATGTCTTAATATTATGATCGGACTTTAGATACCAACAGGTCTCTATCCGAATTCAGGTATAAAAAAATGTTGAGCATTTAGACTGCTTACTCATCCAAGTCACTAGGATTGAGCATACAAGACCTAGAAAAGGATGCCTTTATCTCCTACTCTCGATGGTAATGGATGGTAAAACTCAAATATCAAAAGGAAAAAGTCACACATTACTCTAAAAGGGAGCGGAAAGATCATCACACTGCAACTCAAGGACTACAAAGTAGTTCGTTTCAAAATCATCCTAACAGAATATTAAGTTTAATAAACAGCTCCAATAATTTAATGTTTCCCCTAATCTCATATTTCAAATACTATACAAAACTGTAAGATACTAACCATCAATGGCCTTTACCTCATGGGTTCTGGACCATCTAGCTAACTCCAATGCAAAAACCAATAATACCAAGTACGGACAAGATAAATGATACCAGCAGGACTTAGGTTACTGTTGGCATTTGAGGCTTAAACAGATCTGAAGATCTCCTTGTACTTTTCTGGGCTGTCAAACCAAGTCCGGGTGTTGATGATCTCCCTCTCCAACCAAAAGGGATCTTCTTCCTTCTTCTCATTCCACGACTGAAAGAACCTTTTCCACTTGTTCATGGCTCTCTTCAAACGAACACTCTTGCCTTTTCCAAAGAGAAACTTGATATAGTCTTTCCCTAGCCGAGTCAGCTCCTCGCCGCTGATAATGTAGACATACTGCAGCAAATTAAGTTAAAAAAGTTAATTGCATTGCAAAATAATTATTTCCAGTAGACAACTCAAGCAACCATACTTCAAAACCATTTCAGGTGATGTATTGTTATATAAAGTATGACAAACATCAATGGGATCGAGATTTATCATAAGGCTGCTGCTTACAAGAGTAAGATAAACAGAGGCAATACTTTTGGGATTAGAGATAAAAAAAGTAATGTACCTTCATAAGAACAAAAAGAAACCAGGTTTTATTTTCAACCAGGGGAGAAATTTTAAATGATCATTCTAGCAACAAAGAAATGAAAGTTTTCCGGTTAGAATAACCTCCATTTCTCACTGCATGAAAATAACACTTATGCCAATCAATTTTGTTTCTCTCTTACACACACACACACACACACGCGCACAAAAGCAGCAAAAAGCTGAGAATAAGTAGCGTGTAACTAAATACTGGTAGTTCAGTTTTGGGCTGGTAACTAATTGACATGGTATAAAACATCAATTCCAAGAACCTTTTATGGTAACTCTCTATTCTAGCAGAGACAAATATGCTCAAGAACGTGCAGACTAAAACATCAAGTTCACAAAAAAACAGTGCCCTGAGTCAGGATATAAACCAAAAGAGAGAAAGAGAAAAGATATTATTACCAGAAAGATAAAGCCAATGGTAGCTAATATCACTTGCATGGTTTCATCAATGATTCCAGCAAAGCCTTCATCCCCAGATTCTCCAGAACCATCGCCACCCCCACCCCCAACACCACTTGGTGGATTTTTTCCACTGCCTCCGTCATAAAATTCTTGTTTTTCAATCTGCTGGCGTAGCACATCTTCTATTGATTTCCCCTTGAAACTAACTTTCTCAAGTGGATTCCACCCAAGTCCCTACAATTAATAAGTTTAGTCAAACATATACAGAATTCCAGACCAAGGCTTACGAAAATGACTCACAAGTACAAAACTACCAAAAACATCAAATCCCTCCTTCCCTCTCATACAAAACAGTTTTCAAGGCCCAAAATGATGACAATACATAACAATGCATTCGCTGTTATGCCCTTAATTGTTGGATAAACTTATAGAAATTAACAGACAAACAAGCAAATAAATAAAAGTCCACTCATGCAAACATCAGAGAAAAGAATTACAGATGACAAGAAAGAATAGTTAGAAAACAAAAATCTTGGGAAAGGCAATATTAGCAGAAGAAGCAGACACTCATCGGCATAATTTTGAAAAAAATTCAACATTATGAACATATTAAATGAAAATAAAAAACAACACAGTACAACTCTTAACATCCTACGATATTCAATCAAATTATTATATAGTCAAGAACAACTACGTCAGTGTCAGGGATCCTTCTCAAGCACAATAACTACTACAAAATTAAAATCTCAGAACCATCACTGACAAAAATATGTAAGCAACCATGCACACTAAGCGAAACTTAAATGGGAGGCATGTTACCTGGTTGTCCTTTTCAGACTTATCTTTGCCACCAAGCAAGCAAACAGCTGAGCTATTCCAGTACTTCACCACAGGCTCGCTTTTTTGGTGCTTCAATAAATGAGCAAATTGCTGGTGTATCAAACCATTTGGGGGATATTTCAAAGACTTCATAGAAGAACCATTAAAACGAGGCAATGGTAAAACACACAATGGTGCATCATTTTGATGTCGTGATTGCGAAACCTTTGGAATATAGAGAGAAGGACAGCGGACATTTGTCTGAATGCAACTTGCCATCTAGACCAATCTTTCAATCTTCTCTTAAGGGAGCATTAAATCTCTCAAAAAAAAACCCTAAAATTTCAAACTTGAAGTGTCACTAAACAATAAATTGATAAAATAATTTACTGCCCCCCCAACAATTAAAAAAAACAAAAATTGTAAGAACCAGCACCATTCACCTTCCATTCCCTTCCATTTGACAGCAGAAAAATCAAAATATTATACGATTATCCACATCCATTAATATACAGTTCAATCTTCTTTCTAATAACAATAGTACTATACATAATTAACACAAGGCGGTTGTGAGCTAATAGAAAATAGTAGAAATAAACTAAATTCATACATTTAACCCCAAAAAAGATGAATAATAAGCATAAATTCTATTCCCGCAAAAGAAAAAACCAATTCTCAAAAAAGAAAAAAAAACAATAGAAAAATTAGCCTTCCCAATAAATACGAGGACAGAAACTTAAACATGTTTAAATATTAACAACCAATAATAACATAAAGTCTAATAAATATAAATTGATAATCTCGTCTATTTTTTTTGCAACCAAAAAGCTCAATTCAAATACCTAAACCTCAATAAAACGAGGGTAAGGCAAAAAAAAAGTTGCAAAATCACCGGTTAGAAAAATAACTCACCGGTGATTTTAAAGCCGTAGGATTTTCCGGCGATTTTTTTTGTCACTGTTGTATTCCTATCTTTCTTTCTTTATCTAGTAGAGAAAGAAGATAGAATTGAAGCGGAGGAACAAGAGAGGGGAAAGGGAAGGAAAAGAGAACTCAAAATATAGGCTGGGCCTTTTTTCGCGATTAAGGCGGTTTAACTTTAATGGGCTAGATTTTCTAGCCCATTAGGCCCATTCGTTTCTTTTATGTTAAAGTCTGCTTGTTTATGCCCGCCTCTTCCTTCTTCCCGAGTCCAGAAAGAAAGCTGCATAAGAGTGTTTGTAGTTCAGACATGGATTTGATGGAAATTTACGAAATTGACCGGACTGCGGATTTTATTCACAGTAGAAACTTCTCTAGAGTTGCTTTACAGGTAATTAATTCGCTTTTATCTGCTAATTTGATAGAGAAATTTATGCTTAATTAATTGTAGTATATTATTTTAATTTTAGTTTCCAGATGAGTTACTGAAGGATTCTACAAAAGTGGTGAGAGCTTTGAGAGAGAAAATTCGGTTACTGAAAGAACAAAATGAGGAAGGAAAAGAGGTTGGTTTGTTTGTTATGGCGGATACGACCTATGGAAGTTGTTGTGTTGATGAAGTAGGAGCTTCGCATGTTAATGCTGATTCTGTTATTCATTACGGACACACTTGTCTTAGCCCGTGAGTACTTGTCGTGGCGGTTTGATTTTAGAGATTTTTCTTGCGTTGCAGCCTGTTCCTGTTTATTTTTATGTTTCTGTATGTTCCATTTTGGCAGGACATCGACAATTCCAGCTTTCTTTGTTTTCGGAAAGGCTGTGATTGATGTATCCAGCTGTACTGAAAGTTTATTGGATTATGCCTCAAATAACAGCAAGCCGATTCTGGTATGATCGAGGCTGATTTGATGTTGCAATGTATGAATTTTTAAGTGGTATTACTTGTGATATGAAGTATATAGTTGCAGTTGAACTTATGATGAGCAAGTAGGGTTGCTAATCTGTTTGCTTGTACATCTTAGTCTAGAAAATTTTAGTAGCCTCAATGTAGTTGTTAAGGTCAAAGATGTGATGATCAAGTTGGATTGGTGCTTTGAATTCCTTTTTACTTATAAATTTCTTCATCTTCAGTGAAGGAGATTGATTGGGTCTTGTTGATAGAAGCCCTTGCTAACTCTACCATCTAGCTAGTGTGTGCCTGTGGCTATATCAAATATTTGATTACCCTTGAGCCTAGAAGAGAATATATTGAACATGGAGTTCCTGATTTTCTTGTCTTCTAATAACTTGGGGGTCTTATAATTCTGAAGGTATAAAAGATACCTCTTACTTGACATATATGCATGTAACAAAGACTGTTGTTCGTACAGCATAATGTTGCTATATTATGTTCAAGGTAATAATGATATTGGATGATACGATAATATGATCTATGTCTGTTTTGTAGTTGAAAGAATTTATAGATCTAGAATAACTTACTCCCAGCAAGAACAATTGCAAAATAGTTATTAATAATTTTCTTTTGATATAGGTGCTTTTTGGACTGGAATATGCACATGCAATTCCAAATATTAGAGAGGGACTCATAGCAGCATCATCCACACTATCTGGGTCTAAAACCGAGACAGTATTTAATTTTGCAGATGTTATGTGTCCATTAATAAATCCTCGCGATCGTCATAAAGATTCTGGTGGGCCGCTTAGGTCAGTTGGTGACTCTAAGGTTAGCGATGAAGTTGGTATGGCAGCTGGTTCTAGCCACACCATTGGGGGCTTGAGCTGGGATTTACCCAGTGGACAAAAAATGGAGGACTGCTCGCTTTTATGGATTGGTTCTGACAATTCAGCATTTGCTAATGTTGTACTCACATTCAATGGATGCGAAATAGGTAGAAGTTGTTGCCATGTTCATAGTAAATTTGCTGTAAATTGTTTTGTGGATGTTCACATGTGTTGATTAGTTAAATGAATGACTTGCATGTGTTGCTTTACCAAAATTTAGGTGACCGCATTCTGATGGTGGTAGAGATATACATATTTGTAGTACTGTTCTTCTGTGTGTATGTTTTGTATACACATATCTTCCCTACAACTTCGATAATTTCATTTTCTGGTTACTTAACTTGCCTTTATTTATAAGCCAGATTAGCTCCATACCTGTTTATCTTCTGTTCATATCAATATGGTGTTTTTCCTTTTAAACTCAAGCCATGCTTTTGCGCATGTTTTTCTCACAGAGCTTGTTTGCCAGTATGGTTGGGAGGACCTCAAAATATGTTGATTTGATTGCTCTGTTCTGTCAGTTTATATCCTAAATCCTGAAAATTCTTTGCTTAATTGGAATACTCATTTTCAGAACATGAAACATATTCATTTAGGCATCTGATATGTGGATACTATGTAATACTTATTACATAAAAATTATGCCAGGTGTATTTCTTTTCTTTTATCTCCTTAAACAAATGCTAATTTTCATTTGGTGTCGGTGGTTTCAGTCAGATATGATGTCAATGGAAATTGCCTGGTGACAGATTTATCTCAACAAAGAAGGATTCTTAAGCGTAGGTATTATTACGAGATAAAAGTTTTGTTCATCCTTTGTCTTCTTCTCTTATTTTCCTCCTTATTTTCTGTGTTATGTTATGTAGCTCTGTTGCGTGATTCCTAGTGTGACGGGTATTTCATGCAGATATTATCTAGTGGAGAAGGCAAAAGATTCTAACATTGTTGGGATTTTGGTGGGAACTCTCGGAGTAGGTATGCTCGCTTCTAGCGCTTTTATCAAATTTTGATACTTATCTGTGGGTTACACTCTGGCAGGACTTCTTTGCAGCATTTCACTATTTTACCATTGAACTGTCAATTTACTGCCAGTCTGGAACTCTGGCTCCCGTGCAGTTCAGAAATGCACTCTTGTTTGTTCCTGAATCCTGAGCATGTTCATGTATTCTGCACTCTTTTGTCAAGACCTTTCGTTTACCTTCTGAGAACTGGATGCGTAATTTTATCTCCTTTTATGTCTATGTGTGCATATGTGCATGTATATATGTGTATAAATATCCCACACCTAGATGTACATGAAGTCAAACTCCGGTGAACTGCTCTTTTTTACTATTCTAGTTCTTCGTAACTATTGGTCTTTCTTTGACATTAGTTCGTGGCGTTTGTCTTATAATTGCTAGATAATAATAAACATCTATTAATGGGAAATCTTACCAGAATCTGGAAATTATTCCTGGGTTTGACTTCAAATGACTTGAGGATTTCCTGCTTGCATATCGTTGTTCCTTTGAGTTCATTTTTAAAATTGATTTGAAGCTGAATTCTAATATTCTTGGGAGGATGAAAATGTGTTCATTTTAGCTTAGAACAAGACCATTTTTTACTTGATATCTTGAATGCTATAAATTTCTTCTTCTTAGTTCTTTGTGATTAGTGTATGCTGTATGCTTATAGATAATATTTTACTAGTGTTTTATTCTTAACATGGCATTGACAATCAGTTGGACAATGTGCTTCCTTTTGGTGCAGCTGGTTACCTCGATATGATCCATCAGATGAAAGACCTGATCACTGGTACAGGGAAAAAGGTCTATACTCTTGTCATGGGAAGGCCAAATCCTGCAAAACTTGCCAACTTCCCTGAAGTAAAGCCCGATCGGCTGACAGAGAAGATTGTCTACTTTAGTTAGGGAGCTTAGAATTTGGAGTAACATAATAACAATTTTCTGTTTGTGGCAGTGTGATGTTTTTATCTATGTCGCCTGCGCCCAAACTGCTCTATTGGATAGCAAAGAGTTCTATGCTCCAGTTATTACTCCATTCGAGGCCATGCTAGCTTTCAACAGGTTTGAATTCATTACACCTGCTAGCTAAAAATTGACTTCCTAGCAAAATGCTAAATCCAACTTCTATTTATTAGATCTCATTTATATCCTCCTTTCCTTGTGTTCTGTTCTGCCTCATTATTAATAAGTTGAGTAGTGTGGTTCCAATTTTTTTTTATTTCTTTTCCCCCTTTGAAACCCAAGCAATAGAATAGCGGGTGACTTCTGCCATCTAGTTAGAAGAGTAGGTTATGCAGGTCATCCATTATACTTGCTAAGCAGTAGCAGAAGGCCAAGCTTTCCTGCAGTTCACTAATTCTCTTCACTGGAATCAACTCCTCTCTCCCCCTTAAAAATAGAGCAATGCCACATAAGAGAAACATATATACCGTGTATGACTGTTGATTTGGCATTGTAAGGTGGATGGAATGGGGATATGGAGACGTTAATTGCATTTCAAAATTTATGTTCACAGATAGAATACACCATCATTAGATTCTGGATTCTCATTTATCAGAATTGCATTTTGCAGAGGAAGTGAATGGACAGGAGCATATTTGATGGAATTCAGGGATTTGATTAATTCATCTCCAGTGGAAGTGAAGAGTTATTCTGAAGAAGCACGTTTTTCTTTTGTGCAAGGCAGATATGTGGAAGATTTTAATTTGCATGGTAGTTTACTTGCTTTCAGTTTCTCTATTGCATGCAGATTTATTGGAGTTGAACTTTTGAATGATAAAACTTGGAAATAATCCATGATAGTCTTAGCTGTTGCTGTTTGCTACAGGTTCAGCTTATTATCAAATGACTAGTGATATCTCCCAAAGTGAAAACTGTGTTTCGTGCAATTATACAATTAAAATATGTTTGTTATATGGGATCTTGGCCAGGAGAGAAATTGAATAGTGTGCTTCTATGATGTCGATAATAATTAGGAGCTGAGTGGGGTGGGCTGATGCCCATTGCGGTTCATTGTTCCAACCCATTCATATTGTACGACCTTGTTAATTCATTAGTTTTTTGCTGTATTGGATGGTTTTGCATCTTTGAGTGATGAAAATGATTGTTTGAAGAATTTTTTTTGTGAAAGTTGAAAATTTTTCATGTCAAGATATTACGTTTCTATTATCATGTTAATGATAGAGATGGGATTATGCCATTAGGGTAAATCCATAATTCTTTGACTTCGTTTATACCACATATGTCATGGATGAGAAGCAGATTAGAATTTCTTACTTTTCATTTTTTTAGCATTAGTTTTTTTTTTTTTTTTTTTTTTGACTCAATCTTTTCTTATATAACAAGGTAATTCCCCAATCTATTCTTATGTCTCTAATTGGGTCAATTTTATCTTTAAATAGACATTAAGTCTCTAACATATTCTTTTGACAAGAATTTCAGCCAAAATCACCGGTGTTAGTCTTGTGATTTGCACATGACTATTTTTATTTTCAAAATGCCCTTGCAAATAAGAGAAACAGAAAATTTTCATTTGCAAATCATCTGATTAATTCCAGTGTTTTGACTTGAAAATCTTGCTAAAATGATAGATTAGAAACTTAATGTGTATTTAAGAATAAAATTAGCTCAATTAGAGGTATAAGAACATACTGGAGAATTATCTTATTATATAACGACCAGATTGAGCCATATTAACTTTTTTTTTTTTTATGAAACAATAAAATTGGCTCTTGGGGTTCTGTGTTATCAAATTGTGGACCATGTTCTGCTTTGGTATGTTGAACTCATTGTACCCTTGCCAAAACTTTCTTTAGAATGTCACTGATGCACTCATTCTATATCTTACATGCTGTAGTGATTTAACTTAATATTTGAATCGTTTCACAAACAGAGAAAAAAGAAGAAGAAAACGAAGGAGTTCTAGCTTTGGCAAATGCAACAGAGAAGGCTCTACAATTGCGGGACAGAACTAATTCTCTCTTCAAGGGCACAGTACAATCTGGGGCAGATTATTTTGCTACTCGATCTTATCATGGTCTTGATATGCACAGTGATAATTCTATGCCAGAGTCATATTTAATAGGCAGAACTGGAAAGGCATCAGGCTACCAACATGAGAACGGCAAGTAAGAAAGTTTAGATTATTATTTTACTGAAATTGTGAGACATAGCTAGAGAAGCAAACTTTCGTTGTGGAAGCTAGCTGCTACAGTCGCATAAAAAAGATGTCATTCCTCAGGCAGTACAGTATTGCTTCTTGACAAGTGATGCCTGATCAAAATTTTGTAGTGGTGCATTTTTTAGTTTTGAGTTTTATGTAATATCGGTGCTTGCTTTCTTAGCATTTTGTTTTGTAATCTCAAGGAATGATTGATCAGCAACAAAATAGAATTGGATATTTTATCTATCTATCTGCCATAAATAAAATAAACGAGAGCCAAAAAAAATCATATCTGAATTTCTTATTTTTATTTTCAAGAGAGGTTATTATTTTAAGGCTGCCAAAATTATCTCAAGTCAATTCACAATTTAGAGTCGACTATCAATGATGAGCAAAGTTTGTGTATTTGATTATTTTTTGTTAAATAATAAAAGAATAACGTTATTTAGCAAAATAATTTTTGGAAATTGATTTTGAAATCTTTGATTTGTTGTTTGCAATTTGTTGTTGTCATGGTTAAAGAATGAAAAGTGGGAGAAATAAGGTTATATTTCTATTTCTAAACTAATTTTTAAGGCAGTTTGTATGGTTATTTGACACCACTATGGTATTAGAATTAAATGTATATGACGTGTAATTTTGTGGTTTGTTGAGTTGTTTGTCAATTTGTTAGGAGGTTAGGAAGTTAAGTGGTTATATTTGTTAGTTAGTTAAGTGTTATTATCTTGGGTATGAATGTAACAATAAACTAACGATCAGGAATTAAGAGAAGAAAATGATTTTTACCAGGTTCTCTCTCTCTTCCTCACTTTACTTTTCTATGTTATTTTCTCTTCTCCTTTAATTCAATCAGGAAAATCAACACGGTATCATTTGTGGAATCGATTCTAGGGTTTGTGGCTCAATTGATTTTTCCTTCATTTTCTCATATTAATCATTTCCAATTGTTTGCTTCATCAATTTCAATTATTCATCTTCTCCAAAGCTTCAACGATTTCATGATGGCAGTGGAATCAACTTCATTATCCGATGATGTTCTCTCTCCATACTTCTTTCACCACTCGGACCATCATGGTTCTCTTGTGGTCAATTCGGAGCTAACCACGGAGAATTATGCTACTTGGAATAGGTCATATGTTTTAGCTCTCTCTATTCGCAACAAGCTAGGATTTGTTGATAGATCTATTCCGAAACCCGAAGACAATGATATGCTTATCAACTCTTGGAATTATTGCAATAATCTCATAGTAGCTTGGCTATTGAGATCCATTTCACCTTTAGTAGTTGCAATAGTGTTCTATATGAATTCCGCGATGAAGATTTAGGAAATTTTGAAGAAACGATTTTCTCAACAAGAGAATATGCAATCTACAATGGTCATTGTGCTCAATTACACAAGGTTCTAGATCGGTCAATGCATATTTTATCGAGCTAAGTGAAGTATGGAAAGAGTAGAGGAATTTCAAACCATTGCCTCACTCGTACTAATGAAATATGCAATGCTGATTGTTTTGAGAAGTTTGTGAAGATTGATGAGAAGGACTACGTATTCAAGTTCCTCAATGGATTAAACAAGTCCTTTTCTTCTCCGAAATCTCAAGTTTTAGTTATGAAGCCGTTTCTTGGTTTGGATGAGGTATATAACTTGGCTATAAGGGAAGTCTCAAAGATCAATGGAGTTACTTGCAACAACGGTCTTTCAATGAATCTTTTGTTATGGCTGCATTTTCCGATAATAGAAAGAGGTTAGATATTTGCTTGCTCATATTATGGGACAATAGGCCATAGCAAAGACAAATGCTATCGATTAATAGGCTTCCCTTCGATTTCAAGTTCATAAGGAATAAGAATTTCAATGGTGGGAGTGTTCCTGTCATAGTCCTTCAAACTCTACTTATAGCCATACCTTTGGCAATTCTTCTCGACATATCAATAGTGTTGCATTAGAATAAGAAGAATCTATTTAGAATGAGTATGTTCATAGTGTTGCTCCAACTAGGTGTGTCACACTACCAAACATTGTCTTTACTAAAGAGCAAGTTACCGGACTCATGAATCTTTTGAATGCTCGGGATTTGCAAGCTTCCTCTCCTCAACCTTCAAATCGCATCATCTCTCCTACTCGTTAATCATACATAACCTATCTCTAGCCTTCCAAATAAAATTTTCATTATGTCTACTAAATCAAACTGTTTTTTCAATCTTACACCTTGCTAATGGGTACAAGTGCAACTGATCACATAAATTGTTCTATTCAACATTTTAGTTCACATAAGTCCGTTAACAATATGACAATATAATGGCCAAATAGTCATAAGGCAATTGTTACTCATATTGGTCAAGTTGCTTTATCTTCTTCTTTTGTCCTGTATGAAGTCCTTTGTGTTTCTTCATTCCGTGTTTCTTCTTTTAAGTTTAATCTCATTTTCATAAGCAAACTCACTCGCCAATTCTCACTATAAATTGATCTTCACTACGGTTCTTGTCCGATTAAATAGGATAACTCTTTAGAGACAATGATTGGAATAGTTAGTCCGTACATAGGATTATTTTTGCTCATGTCCGCCTCGATTGTGTTTCTTCATCCGTAAAACATTCCTATATGCTCAAACGAGTTAGTGATAAGATTGTAAATTCATCGATTTACAATATGAGGCATTGTTGTTTAGGTCATATTCATATGAATCCAAGTGTCAAATGTAATAACTAGACTTGTTTTATTTGTCCTCTAGTAAAATAGAAACGTCCGCCATTTCCTATTCATAATAAAAATTCTTATGTTCCTTTTGAGTTAATCCATATGGACATCCGTAGACCATATTCTACCGCTTCTTTTGAAGGTTTTCATTATTTCTTAACCGTGGTTGATGATTATACTAGGGTTGCTTGGATTTTCCTACTCGGACATAAATCGGATGTCTTGTCTATTATCCTATCTTTTTACCGAATGAGTTTTACTCAATTTCATTTACCAATCAAATAAATTAGGTCCGATAATGGTGTTGAATTTTATCTCCTAAATTTTTACCATTCAAAGGGAATTATATATCAATTATCCTATGTTCAAACTCCTCAACAAAATGGTGTTTGAAAGAAAGCACTAGCATTTATTAAATGTAGCTAGATCCCTTCTCTTCCAAGCTTCTTTACCTACTAAATTTTGAGGGGATGCGAGTTCTTACTATTGCTTATTTGATTAATAGAATTCCTTCTCCTTTTTTGGATAATCACACCCCTTATGAACTCTTATTTCAATCTCCTCCGAGTTTATGATCATCCGAAAGTATTTGGTTATTTATGATTTGTTTCAACACTTGTGCATAATAGGAAGAAGTTTCAACCAAAAGCTTCACCTTGTATTTTTCTTGGTTATCCTCCCGGTGTTAAGGGTTACAAAGTCTATGATATTGTTTCTCATAAGGTCCTTATTTCCAAGAATGTTGTTTTCCATAAAGCTGTCTTCCCTTATTCACCAATGGTTTCTTCTTCTATTCCTTCAACACCTAACATGTTTATCCTTCTTCTACACCTAATTTGTTTGACTTCACCGAGTAGTCAACCTTCTTATTCTTTTTTTCCTCCTACTACTTCACTTTCTATCCCGGATACACATATTGATACATATCATATGAATTCTTTCTCCGATGGCATGATCATTGATCGGGTTCATTCTCTCGATTCTATTAATGATCATGCTGATATTGATTCTTCTCCGAATTTTATTTTTCCTCCTCTACGAAAGCTACCAAGTCCAATACAATTCCTTCGTGTTTAAGTATCTACCAACACTCATTACATCCTAGTTCTAAAATTTCTTCCGAGTAATATAGTTTGTTCAACTCCTTTTCCCATTCATCATTTTATTTGTCTCTCGTAACTTTCTTCTTCTAATGCTCGCCTTCACCATTTCTTTGTCTAATACTTTTGAACCAAAATCATACTCCCAAGCTATTAAATTTAAGCATTGGAAAGAGGTTATATAAGCTCGAGTTATAAGCTTTAGAGAAGACCAATAATTGGTCCGTTATGCCATTACTTGTATGATCTCACACAGTGGGTTGTAAATGGGTCTACAAAGTCAAACTCCAAGTCGATGGTAGTATTGAAAGGTATAAGGCAAGGCTTGTTGCTAAGGGTTACGAGTGAAATTGAGGGATTTGACTATTAAGAAACCTTCGATCCGGTTGCTAAGCACACTACGGTGAGGTTATTCTTGGCTTTAACGACGAATTAAAGGTTGGTTTCTCTCTCAACTTGATAGTAATGATGCATTTTTACATAGGGACCTTGATGAAACAATGTATATGGATCCTCCCCCTGCTTATAAGCTTAAGGGGGAGACCTTCATGGCAAATTGGCAACCATATATCTTTAACGAAGCACGAGTAGCCATTTTGTTCCAATTTTCGTCACCAAAGCATTAAATTAACTCTACCGTCATATGATGAAATTCTCACTCTCAAAATACTTGTCTACATTGTATTAGAGATATTGAAAGTATATGTATACCTTTGCGTGTGTACATTGCACTCGTAAAAAAATTAGGATTTATGAACATTTTTCAGCTACGGTTGAGAAAAACGTCGCCGAAGGCAAAGAATTCACAATGATCTAAGTAGACTCTCATGAATTTTGTTATATTTTTGGATATTTAGCGACGATTTTTAAAACCATCTCTAAACACATGTAAATTCATGATGGTTTTGTGAAACGCTCGTGAAAATGATTCATTGAACAACGATCTCGGATGGACCGTCATTAAAAAGTTACGTATTTAGCAATGATCAAAAAAGATCATCACTAATTGAACTATTTTTGTGTTCTTTAGCGATGCTTTTCCAAAATCATCACTAAATAACCATTTTGGGTGAAATTAGGAACTCGTTAATAGACAATCGCTAAACAAAGCCAATAAATTCTAATAGATACTTTGGTGGTATTTAGCGTCGGTTTACAAAAACCTTAGTTA